TTTGCTCCTCATTTCCAAATCATACTCCCTGTGAGATGGAAATGTTATTCTCTAAATATATAAAGTATATAGTTGACAAATGCACAAGGTGAATCAATTTGAAGTACACAAATTTTCACAGAAAATGTGGAATATGTCCAGAAACACGATCATTCAATTGAAATATTATCGTTCAGACACATCGTAGACAAGTTGATAAGATTGCGCATGTAGTTTTAGCGTTATATTATTTGATGTGTTATTTTAGTAAAACTTTACAGTACAGTGTATTGCTGATTGGATTCCCACCCTGTTAAAAGTGAGGAAATGTTAGGTAGGTTTCTTCGCACGAGGGTTTAACTTAAGTACCTTTATAAGATCCCCTTCCCTGTTATGATTTTTGAACCTGCAAGGCGTATTTTAATCCTAGTAGTCAAAATTCTCAGCTTAGTCCAATATTTTCCGATATATCGATATTTTGTGATGATATTAGATAATATCAATATCGGCTTTGTGGGTTATCGATATAGCGACATATCGATATTTACAAAACTCTTCCCATCACTAATAATTATTTACTGTCGAATTCCGACGAGTAAGTTTCCGTATTTCTCGTTTTTCCTAAAAAAAATTCGAATCATTGGCGATTTTTATTTATTTATTTACATGTTTATTAATTAAAGTCCCGACGACCTTGCAAAGCCAATCGCCCAAGAAATATTTTACGTTAATTTCAGACTCAGACGGGATATTAATGTATACATGTATGTAATATATAAACTATAGCGGGTAATAAGAGATTTAAAGTAAGGTATTTATTAATTTTCATTTTGCTTTAATTAATTAGAATAATTCGAGTTTATTCGTTGTCTCATTTCCTCTCTTTTCACAGATGTTTTGTGTTACGGCAATTAACAGAATAGCAAAATTTTTATGAACTAATTTCTCTATCGAACATCAATAAGATTAAAATTATTATATATAATAAATAGCGATTTTATTATAATATTCAATTAAAACATTCATTTTTGCTCATTTGTTGTGAAACCGTGTTGTACTATAATTTCTTTATAAGTGTTGAACACGAGATCTTTCGGCAGTGTTATCCTTTCTTTATAAGTGTTGAAACCAATCACATGGCTTTTTTTCCACCTTTATAAAGATGGAAAAGAAGCCATGTGATTGGTTAATAACACGATCTCGTGTTCAACATTTCTAAAGAAATTCATTTTTGCATTAGAAATATGCAATTCAGATTGGAATAAAAATATTTCTTAATGAATGCAAGTTTGTATTCACAACATTCGTTTATTTTTCTTTGCAGAATGGAGAATTTCAAAGAATTGAAAAAGTGGCACACCTCGAGCCATGCCCAGCCCGAGGACGGCGCCTTTTCATCGCCTCGTGTGATACGGGTGCTTCCGAAAGATGCTGAGGAGGAGACGCGTACACCCGACGTCAAACGGGTGGGCGACGTAACTCCTCTTCGTCCTTTATCTGGCGCGGCGATACCCCGAAGTTCCGAAATGGACCGTGGAGACACTGTCACTTGATACGGAACTGGACAGAAAGCAGTCCGAAGAAATGGGGAAGAATCCGTGGAGCGTAAAAGGCCTTGGTGGAAAAGGTTGTTTGCTGCTGGAAAACAAACCCCTTTTCTGTCAAGGCCTTCTTGCGCGGATTTCGATTTTCCATCGAATGTGAGACAGCCACCCGAAAGTGACCTTTCACCCGAATTTACGGACGGATACTTCGACACCATTCGAAATTCGTTCTTGTACTGTACTTCGGTTAAAGTGTATAGAACGACGACAGTGGTGTTTACTGTAGCAAAGTGATAACAAAACATTAAACAATGTTTTCGTGTTTAATTAAAGACTGTGTTTAAACGACTATAAGTGGTCAAAACAACTTATAAAAAGGCCTATACAGACTGTATTTCAACCGATGTTCTACTTGTAAAAAATTTCACCAGAGAATAATGTACTGCGGGAGGAAACCATTTTTACGTCGAACTTTTAACATTGCAGTCGATATACGTTTAAACCAGAATTATAATTACTTCAACAATTAAATTTATACGTGGAATCTTCACGATTTTATATAAATTTTTATATTTAAGAAAACTTATTAAATTATGTGGAAAGCTTGGAGTAGGAGGTCCAGATTAACTATATACGAATTTTCGGTTTAAAACGGAAGTAACGTTACTTTGATTCAAAACTTTTTCCCAACGGAGTTAGATAAATAACCGGCACTACTTTATTGCTATCAGGGAAAGTATGATGTACAGGGGCACAACTGCCACTAAAAATTATGATGATGTGACAATAAATAATCGCAGGTTAGAATTAGTTTAGTTTATTTGGTTACTGCAACGCGACACGTAATCAATCTGCCAGGAGAACGCATTCTAGGAAAACTTTTATAAAGAGATGGACCCCATTTAGGTGAAGAAAACCCGGTAAACTCCACGTTGGCCATGCCCGAACCCACGACTAACTAACTAACTGTGTTCGGTGGTTTTATCCATTCGGCTACTGGAGGTCGCTTATTAGAATTAAGAAAGTACAGTGCAGAAATGAAAAAAAATTCGAGTCGTTCGATGTGGAAATTCAAATACTTATAGATTTTTCACAGGATAACACTTTAGATTGCATGCAGGCAAGTGCTATATGCTACCTTTAGCGGTAACTATATACCGCGTCTATTTCACCCTATATATTGTCTCAGTAATTAAGTAAATATAATATATATTCTTTAAAATTATATTTTTTTTATAAGAATTATATTTAGTTTATTATTTTGTTAATTTTTTTTGCCAACAAATAGTACTGTGTAAACCAGCAAATGAGCAGATAAAAATTAATTGATTTACAGGAATTTAATAGATATTTTGGGGTGGGATGTATGATATGTGGGTGTTCAGCAATTCATGATTCAATAAAATCAGAATTATTGATTTATTTTTAAGTAGCTACTACTTACCTAATACTGGGTATTAATCAACTTTTCATCACAATGCTACCTCATAATGTCCCAATTTCTGGTGTTGAACTTGTAACTCTATAACCCTACTTCGTATTGGCTCTTTCCACAAACATTGTGTAGTCTTTTCCTCATTAAAGGAGTACATTTTAACCGTTCAAAATCGGGAGTTTCTCCCAAATATTTACATTCGTGCAATGAATTTAACCTTCGTGCATATAATTATAAATATCATTTAATTAAAGTAATGGTGTGAAATGAATTTTCGAAACAGTAAAAATATTAGAAAGAAATCGTAACAAAAACCCAATTAACGAACGTTTTAAACCCTTTGGAACTTCACACTGACTGTGGGTGCCCACCATGAGAAGAACCTGTATACTCAGTGCCATGATTTACCTGAAATAACAATAAGCAAAGATCAACACACCACTTACAGGATATGTTGCATGTACGTTAAATTTCTGTACACCTTTATAATTAATTTATTTCAATAGTGTTTGCTTCAAAATAGAAATAAATTTGGCACGCCTTTCTTTATATCTCTAACAAAGAAAAAATTGTTAGGTCTTCCAAGCAATCTTATGCTTACTCCTAACAATTAAAAAGAGAACACGAAGCAATAAAGTACAAAAGAAGAAAATGTTTTTACTCTTGAATATTAATGAAATTAAAAATAGAACAAAAATATGTTAATGAAATAAATTCGTGCTTTAATTATTTATTAAAATCGTGTTTATTTATTTATTCAGCAAGAGAGTAACAAATGATTAGGTTAATAGCACGGATCGCAATAATGCGAGAAGTCACGATAATTAAAGTCTGTCACAAATATTCTAATAACTAAAGAGCTTGTGTAAATTTTAAAATTAATTAAATTTTACAGTTTTAAATAAGAATATTTACATCATCACTGAATATATTTTACTGTAATAAAATACAATGCTTAATATTTTAGCAGTTTGCAGCAAGGATTTTTTTTTATTTCGGACAGACAATATATACGTGAAAGTTAGAACAAACAAGAGGCCAATTCACTAAAACTATATTCCTTATATATAGCAAAACCTGTCCAAAACCGAAACCTGCTGTATCGCTCAATTTTGGTTTACACAGGTTTTACTGTAGTTTATACGTATAGCTTCATCCGTTTTCATGATAATGATAAAACACGTGTAAAAACAAACAAAAATTCAACGCTCCTATGAAATGTTAGTCTTCCTTTGCAAAGTGCTAAACAAGAGGTCTTTCAGTGATGATCATAAAGAGAGGATCTATCAGGAAAACGAATAAGTTAACAATTAAAAAAAAAGGGTCCATCTTGTGGTGAGCGGATTGTAATTAGTTTGGTGTGAAGAATATTAAAATAAATTCACTATTGTATAAATATCACTGCTTTATAAAACTATTATTCGAAAGAAACAAAGCAAACAAACAATAAAACAAATTTTAAGAGGCAATTGCTCTTACTAGTCACGTTCTTGGGACCAAGATAAATTTGAGTTTGGGGACCCCACGTACGGTACTTCAGTCGATTTTCTGAGAGAAATATTTTCTTATAAAAGATTGGTTTGAGACCTCTTGTTGGTGCTCCAGGCAATTGCCTTGTTTGTCCATAGGAAAACGGGCTACTGTCTCTAACTCCCTCTATCTCTATCTCTTTAGAATAGAAAAATTTCTTTACACAGAAATGCTTTCCATGAAAGTTATAGGAAAAACAATTTAATATTCTTTAATATTCATAAGAGATGAAATATTTATCACAAAAACAATTTTTTTAATAGTGTTGTTAATTCATTAAATGATGATCCCCAATGCACGAAGATTGAAAATATGTAAACAATTACATTTTGCACTTGCTGAACCGAATCACTTGATGTACGATCGTATTTACAATGTCATCTCCGAACACATAGCAATTATCCAAATTGTTTGACCTTCCTGATATATGCGATAAATTAATAAATAATAAACAACAATGACCTTTATATAAACCGGCATGATCCGCCTGTTCAAGTATATCATCAGGTTTACATCTGCATTAAAGTTCCATATTTTGTATCTTTGGTTTTTCCATTTAGAATGAGAGAATTGAATAATAAAAGCAAAGAAGATGGCGGAGAAAACGAGGAAGAATTCTCGATTCAAACTTTTTTCGGTTCTTCAGCTGTTATAGGTCTACCCCAAATTGCCAGCTCGCAGCACATTCTTCGTAAGTTACTTTGGTGCGCCGTATTAATTACAGGAATAACATTCTGTGCTTTAGAAAGCTACAAATTCATGACTGAATTCTACAAATATCCTGTGGTAATTAATTTGGAAATCGAAAATAAAGGAATACTAGAATTTCCTGCAGTCACCATTTGCAATATCAATAGGTAAGTAGTGTTTTTAATAAAGGTAGAATATATTTAATTTTTAAATTCGACAATGTATTAAATATTCAGAATTTTATCCCGTTTCGTTGATTAAATGTCTTTTTACACCTCCAAACACTTTTTAGCATCGCAACTTTACTACTTTTTAAAAACTAATTTGTATGTTGAAAGGACCCGAGAAACACACACACACACTTTCTCCAGTAGCTCGTTATATCTTCTTGGGGCCTAGGCTAATTTGAAATTGGGGTCCCCACGTACAGTACAGTACCTTCAGACGATTTTCTGAGGAAAATATTTTCTTATAAAAAATTGGTTTGATGCCTCATGTTGGTGCTTCTTGTTTGCCCATAGGAAAATGGGCCACTGTCTCTCTCTAACTCTCTATTTCTATCTCTTCAATCGTCTGGCTAGTTCTTTATAGAAATTTATATAAAAATAAGTCGACCAAGTATATTATCTTTATAATAATTTGTAATCTATCTAGAGCACTTGTTTGTATTTGTTCTTACTCATTGTGTTTGTTTTAAACAAATAGGCCTATAAATTAAACATTATATATTGTATACACATAACGTAGTTTACATAAAGATGTACCGTTTTTTGCTAAACTTTCAACATTTTTGCAGTTTTTAATATGTTTTATAACTTCTAAGGGGCCGTCCATAAATTACGTAAGGTGTTTTGGGGTGGGTGGGGGTCAAGGATTTCTTACTATTTCTTACTCAGGGGTAGGGGGGTAATAGATCTCGTCTTACGTAATATTCTTATTTTTATTTTTTGATCTCGTTGAGTGGTGGCGTTTTGAATTTGGCTTCAATTTGGCGGTTTCTATTAAGAACGCTGGTTGTCTCGTGTGACGTGATAGAGTAATAACGCTAGCAGATTTACGCTCTACACATTTTCTGTCATGGGAGAAAGGCCGTGTGGTGGTTTCTCTCTCTTGTTTTTTATTAGAATAAGTGCACCATTCCTTTGGGTTGTATAACACTAAGAATACATAAACCAAAATGCATAATACAAAGTAAGCATAAAATTAGTATTCGGCTTTCAGTGAAAACTAAAATGTAAAACCAGAAATTATAAATAGTCTTTTCTTTCATATTTTTTAACATCATTGTAAAAAGCATGAAATAGTGGTTTCTGAACAAGCTTATCGAGTGGACGTGGCCACCCGAAACCAAGCGTAAAAATTTCTAATCTCAGAATAAGTGTATGTTGATCGTAAATTGGACAATGATAGATCATATAGTCGACGGTGTCTAGGTTTTCTGTACACAAAAGCAAGGAGCAGTTTCTGCCCGGTTATACATCGCTTGGTAGCTTCTAAAATTACCATGCTCAGTAAGTAGTTGAGCAGTAGCAAACGTTAAATCTCTAAGTAGTGATGAGAACCTGCATTCAACACTAGGAAAATAAAGTCTTGTTATTCTACCAGTTTTACTGCTTAACTACTTTTACTGGTTCCACTTTTGCATAACGTTGTTACGAATATAATTTTTAAGGCTGCTACGTGAGAGAGGGATGCGAATGTAGTCCAAATCAGTGTCCTTAGCCTCAAAGTCGTCTTTTTCATTTCCTAGTATGCCAGTATAGCCAGGAACAAATATAGAAGTTATCTTATTTACATGGTTTTTAATATGGTGCTGGATATATGCGATTTTATTGCTATTGCAATTGGGATTTAATAGAGCTTTTAGGACAGACAGAGAATCACTGTAAATGTTGATAGACAGAGTTTCGTTTGGTAGTGAAGTGGCCCACTGAACAGCTTGGTAGTCGGCATCTTCTTCAGCTTAATAGATGGAGGTATGTTGGAGGTATCTGTACCTTCTAACATATTTTTGGCAAAATATGTCAGTTTGGATGAAGATACAGATAATTGAGCCGAAAAGAAGTGAACTTTTGGACCCATCTGTGAAGATATTAATGTCTGCGTGATTATCCATGGAGGAAGCAGATGACACCAAATAACCTTGTTCACAGGATGATGATCAGAGATAGTAGGGTAATTGCAATGTGGTAGCGTATGAACAGCCGTAGATAGGAGTAGAGATTGTTGTTGAGCCTTGACGTTTGTAGTTCTGATGTAGTAGTTTAGAACCTTTTCTACGATACATAGTGGCAAAGGAATAAGCTCCGCTAGTATCAGAGAGGCATTAGTAAAAACTGTTCTGCCGCACTTTGAAATTCTGATGTCAAACTGGCTTTGAAGAGAGAGTAATTTACTTGCTACTGAACTTTTATTAGTTACATGATCACAGCCAGAGGCCGCGTAAAGTAGCATTGGTTGTATTGCCCCATTATATAGAGTTTTATAAGCTTTATTATTTAGTCCCCAAGTGCACCTAACACATTTTAGCAGCATGTAGTTTATTTTCTTGGCCTTAGCCAAGATGTAATCAATATGGCAACGGAATATAGTTTCTTTCTATTCTCTCTTGTTTTATCTTGTATGATGTTTCTTTTACACATGCTCAAGCTAGTCGATCTGACAAAGTTTTTTGCGTCTTTTGCGAACATTAAAATTAATATAAAAACAATTATAATGACGTTGATTAATGATGATGATAATAATAATAATATTGTTAATAATTAAAAAATAAAGTTCTTAAAATAAATTGTTCATTCGAATTCATTAAATTTTTATATTTTAAAATGTGTTCACATAAAGTCTTTTATAAATATTAGTACATATTAATTAACTAGTTAATAATTATATATTTTGGACCTAATGTGTTTAGGGTTTCATTAAAAACATTTTTTTGGTTAATTTAAAATCTTTCTATAAAATCATGCCAAAATATTACGTAAGATAGGAAGGGGAGGGGGGATAAAAAGAAAATATTACTTTTTCTTACACAGGGGTGGGTGGGGGTCTAGAATGGCCAAAATCGCCCTTACGTAATTTATGGACGGCCCCTAAATAATTGATTTCATAGATTAGATAGATTTCTATCAGCAGTCCAATTTAATTTGATATGTAAAAATTTATAATTCTACATTTTCATTACATATATAAGACATAAATGTAAATTTTATATAATATTAGCAGACATTAATGTCAACTGTTATTTATAATTAGAGTGAGGAAGAGCGAATATCACGTCATAAATCCAGAAAACGTTAATAATAGAACTACATTTATAAACAGTACACCAAGAGATGTAAGTTTTGATTAAATATTTTTTAAATTTAGAATAATGTTTTTCAATATTAGCATGTCCATTCTACTAACATTTGTAATTGATGTGTAACAGCGGTGCTTTAGAAAAAGAGGTACAAGCTATAAGAAACGGGCATCATACATTATGTAAGAAGCTTCAAGCTAAATTTAACGTCAAATCAGCGCGGCCACAAAGTGGCACTTGTTTGCAATTGGAACAAAGAATATTCCTTGTTTTCAAGGCCAAGTGTTGTCAACGAACCACGAAGTTGCATGAGACAATGGACAAACATCGTTCATTAGTTTCTTTTATATTTTTAAAATAAACTAGAAGTCATAAATTTTCTATTGTTTGTTAATAATAATGGAATTTGAAGCTCTTTCAGTGATTAGGAAAAGGGCAACCCATACAGAAAGAGGGCACGAGCTTCAAGTGCTTCAATGTATGGGCCTCTTGATGTTTAATGTTAAGAAACGTAGACTGTAATATATGTTGAGATTTAAATTGTAATTAAACGTTAATTTTAACTGTTTATGTACCGAGATGGAAACACTTTGTTACTCTGAAAGATCTATCTCTAATTAGTATTGGATCCTCATAAATTTTCACGCTTCAACCGGATATGTCTGCTGCCTTATTTTTTCATTACGAGTCATCTTTATTGTTAACGTAGAGAAATTACAGGTTTCTCCGGCATTGGCGCGTTATATCTTAATAGAACCTGGGAGAATTTGAATTAGGGTGCCCCATGTACAGTACTTGACATCAGACGTTTTTCTTCGGGGGAATTTTCAGAAGAATTTTTTTATAAAAGATTAGTTTGAGACCCTACTAACAGGTGGTTCCAAACTAATTTTATATGCCTTGGCAATTTTACATTTTGTACACAGGATAACATGCCACTGTTCTCCAAAATCTTTGACGAGCAGATGGCTCCTATTGTGGGCCTGGCCGAACTCATAATGGACTTGTTAAGATTTCCCTCTTAGTGCCCACGAGGCAGAAATAATCAAAAATAAAATAGTTTATTATTTTTGTACCGTAATATTATCATCAAATCTTTTAATATCCTGAAAACATTTACAATTATTTCAGAGTTACTGCAGCCGAGAAAGATTAGTGGACGAACGGAATCAAGCCGAATTTTATAGTAAATATTTTTTTCTGAACAAGACCGTGAGAAACAAAATTGGTCATCAATACCATAAATTTATAATCATGAAGTCATTAAGGAATATGAATTTCGCTTCACAGTAAATTTTAGAAATATCATTCTCAAACTTTGTTTTATACAGAGTGATTCACTCGGGACTGAACATTTATGTGAAATATCCCAATATCAAATGAAAAAATAAGCACGAAACACGAACGGAACGAGGAAGCAATGAGGAAGCAATCAATCAAAGTAAGTTTTACACGTTCTACAAATGTGACCGTGCAATCGTGAGATATTGAACAAAGTAAGTGCTCGGTCCCGGGAATCACCCTGTATAAGCCTTATATACAGGGTACTTCAATAAATGTTAATACTTAAATGGAAGTATCTACTGCAATGATTGCACACCTTTTCCATATAAGTGTTACCATTTCTTAATGTACCCTTTATGTATATATATATATTATATATTTTATTTTATTTAAACCTAATTTAAACAGTTTCTTCACCTCAATTACTAAACCCAACTACGGTGCTTGTTACACATTCAACAGCAAAATCAACACATCCTATAAAGACGTTCCTATGTCGACACATATCGGACCTAAGAGCGGTAACTGAAACAATATTCAATTGTTTAGAGTAGCTCATATTGATTCTTAAGCATTCGATATTTTTACAGGTTTAGCGATGACATTAAATTTAGAATTAGAAGAATATTTAGACGATGTTAAAACAGTAGGAGCTAGAGTTGTTATTCATTCTCGCGAAGAATTTCCAGATACAGAAGGAGAAGGAATTAATATTCCTCCTGGAATGGAAACCAGTTTAGCAATTACCAAGGTCTAAATTTTTATTTTCTTAGTGATTTATTTGTAATTAAAGATTTCACATCGAGTTTAAGACATTTTCTAAATTCTAGAAATCAATAAGAAGGTTAAAATCTCCTTACAAAGATAAATGCAGAGACTATAAAGGTGAATATTACGCAAATAAAGGACCTGCAATTTTAAATCAAAAAGTAAGTTTGTATTATTTATTCCTGTATTAAATTTTCCTGTAAAGTATCCATAACAAAGAAAAAACGAGTTTAACGTTCATCGAATAGGAAGGAAAATATGTCCTTATTTTTAATATAAATGGAAAACAGATGTGCAGTCCGAAAATCTTTTTATTTTATATATTTAAATACTGGTAATTTTTATCTTATTTTTTAAAGGATTGTAGAATATATTGTCTTCAGCAAAAGAATTTGAAGACGTGTAAATGTACAGATCCTTTGCAAGTATTTACGGCAAACAAGAAATGTAACTTAAAAAATTTGAATAAGAGTAAGTTCAAATCTTTGCAATTTTTATATGTTTATTGCCCTTTAATTAGTGTAATAAGAAGAAAAAAATTATTAAATGTAGATAAATAATTTCTATATTGGATTTTACTTGTCTAAACCTAGTCAGGGACCAGTCCTCACGAGAGGCACCCCTTGGCAGATTGCTCCTGTATTGTCAATCCAGTCTAGACCATAATTTAAAATATAGGGGAGACCGGGGCAAGATCGGCATGTTAAGCTTTACTTAAATTTTGTGTAATAAATACTGCTGTAAACTGAAAAAAAAAGCTTTGCATATTGTCTATTGGAATGTTACCTTACTATAGAACTGGTTAAAATCAGTTTGGAAATAAAAATAATTAAAATAATTACAACTTTACAAGAAGAGAGAAATTGACGAAGTTGCCCCGGGTATAGGGGCAAGATCGGCAACTTCTCTCTTTTTGTAAAGTTGTAATTATTTTAATTATTTTTATTAAAGTTGCCCCTGGTATAGGGGCAACAGTAATGGGGCAAGATAGGCACGTATATAAAATTATGTTATTAACAATGTATAAGTTGGAATTCACTATTAAAACAAAGAAATACAAATCCAACACCCATTTAATATTATTACAACGAAATGCAAGTTCAAAGACATATATACATGAATAACAAATGCAAACATGTTTTCATTTATCATCTGTTTGATTTTTATCCTTTGCTTCTAATGTGGCTTTATGTTGCCGATCTTACCCCGCTAGTCATGATTTCGAAACATTAAGTACAACCCTGAGAACAGAATGCCAAGCCACGATCTGGCCACGTGAATAAGTTGAAGTTACATCCTTCTAACAGGAAAAGTAACTTTCGTTATCATGGAATTATAACAAAACCTGCCAATTCAATATAAATGGAAAAAAAATATTATATGGAATTGAACGAAAATGAAAATTTGCTTGATAATTCAACTACGCTTGTTGGAGAACAATAAAAACACTACTACAAAAACAAAATAAATTTTAAATGAGATGATAACCTATAACCAAAGTCTCCTTTTAATTTGTTTTTAAAAAAAAGCGCTTGACAAACTTGCCCCGCATGCCGAAGTTGCCCCGGTCTCCCCTAATTTTCCTGTATAAATATAACATTTTCCAGTTTACCTTACACTGAAATTATTTATAAATTTGATGATTAGCATGGGATCATACAAAACTAATTATGAAATTGAAGGGGTATCCGAAATAAACGCCATTTTGAATTTAGTGGGTAATATCTTATATGTTGTAAGTGCATCCTACTTAAAAAAGGAATATTATATAACTTTTTTAAAATATAAAACAAATTTAACCTTTTAGTAATTTAGAAATGTTTTTAACAGTGTGTTGTTTAGATAACGTTTTCGACAAAATGATCCACAGTCAATATGCAGAATGTGATTGTCCTCTGGAATGTTTGTGAGTATTAACGATTATTTTCAAAATAATGACATTATTAATACTTATCAGTAAATAAATTTTTCGTATTGTCTAAAAATAAATTAGAACAACACAATATGAACCGATTATATCCTCGACTGCTTGGCCTGCTCCCGAAAATTTCAAGGTAACTTTATACAGACAAATTTATAAAATATAAAATTTTACAATGTTTAATCATCTTGGTTTTATTTTTCAGCGATTGGAACTACAGAATTATTCAGAATTCAGGTAAAAATTTTAAAATATTTTATAATTTTACAATTAGACTATAGTAAAGTGGCGCTCCACGGGCACATAAAGAGTGCTTGAAACTGAAAACAGAAGCAGAAAACAGCAGAAGTTTTCGATTTACGTCGACCTAAACTTGGCTAAAAAGAAAGCTGAGTTTAACTTTTCAGTGGTGTTTAGCGTTTGTTCTACAGCAATTAATGAATATACTGTACGTATAAGTTTAGTTTGCATTTGATAGGGCACTAACAGAAACTACAGTATATACGAAAATAAATATGCGCAATACTGACCAAAATATATGTATGTATTGTATATACCACTGCATTTTTCTGTACTGCATACGAATGTACTGTATATACTACTGGTGTTATATTTCATTGTTGGTTTTAGATGATAATCGAAACGAATTAACTGTATCTTGCGTTTTCTTCAAGTTAAAAATTAAATACCCTTTTTAAAATTCTCTTTTAGTGACCCAATAAATAAGATTGAGTTATCTATTCATATGCAAGATGTGTTTCGAGCTTTTTTGCTTTTAACCAGTTACCTTGTTAAACGCAACTCGAGCCTTGCACGTAAATGGATAACTCGACATTACTCGTCAATAAAAAAGGATTTAAAAAAAAAGCCTTATGTTGCTGAAATCTTCAAATTAAAGACAACACAACTCAGAATAAAATGTAACGTGCTTCTACGCTATTAAAAAGTATTTATATATTTTCTATAGGAATTTATTACGGGTGTTTCGTTAACTAATTCTTCTAGTGTATTGGACTCGGGGGACCTTGAACGTCGAGAAATGCAAAAAAAGGGGGTTTTCTGTATATGAGGATATTAGTATGTGGAGAGCACGATTTTGTTTACTGTTTTGAAGCTTAATAACTCTTGTGGTATTTGTACAGTACTAGAAAACTGATGCTATTAAATTTTAGTGGTTAAAGGTCGAAGGATGGGAGATAAAAGGAGGTGTGTTATATCTAGTAGGATCTGACTTAATAAAAATTTTACTCGTTATTAGCATTTACAGCTTTTTAAATAACACATTTCTACCCTCAAAATTAAGCTTTTTGCCATTTTATAATAATTAATTATATAAAAAGTGTTTTTAATAAAATATCATAACAGATGGCGTCATCAAAATTTTAAATGTTGTTAGGAAACTTAAGCAACTCGTTGCTGTAACAAAGAAAAAACGAGTTTAACGTTCATCGAATAGGAAGGAAAATATGTCCTTATTTTTAATATAAATGGAAAACAGATGTGCAGTCCGAAAATCTTTTTATTTTATATATTTAAATACTGGTAATTTTTATCTTATTTTTTAAAGGATTGTAGAATATATTGTCTTCAGCAAAAGAATTTGAAGACGTGTAAATGTACAGATCCTTTGCAAGTATTTACGGCAAACAAGAAATGTAACTTAAAAAATTTGAATAAGAGTAAGTTCAAATCTTNATTTATGCTATTGTATATGTATCTGCTTGTAGTAAATAATATACTTTAATACAAAAAAATAATAAGTAATCTCGAGTAAAATCTCCGCGAAATTTATTTATTTTTCTATTTAGAAAAACATATTCCAAAGTGAACATTTTTTACTCTACTCTCGAAGAAACTATTTATGTCCAAAGGCCTGCTTACGAGGTAACAACATTTCAATTATTTTTCTGACATTCTTCCTGTAGTAATTTAGTAGTTTAATCTTATAATAATGCTTAACTAGAAAGAAAAATGTGTCATTGAAAACATGCACTCACTTTAAGACCATTGGTAATATACGAATGGCATTAAAGTGTGTACCAATGGCCTTATATACATGATAATATACCAATCGAATTTAAAGGTAGTAGACGGATATATGTAAGATAGGGGATCACAAAGTTGTCGTTTAGGTATTTTCGGGGATCGGAAGTGGACTGAAAACGGTTCATTAAAAATTTAATCCAATGGGTTATATATATAACAGTTCGAGGTGTTGTAAATTTGCATACTGTAAATCTCTTTAATGAAAACAGGATGTAGATTAAGTTAATACTAAAACTGTTATTTATTTATTTATTTATTATTAATTGAATTAGCAAATATAATAGAGAGGATGAAAGGTCGAGGGATTATTGAAGGAGTTGACAGTTAAAGTTTGAGGATCCGTGATTTAAGACATTTAGCAGAAAAAAGAAAGTTATAATGAATAATACTGTCTTATTCTTAGTACCTGGCAGTAAAGTAAGCTTTTACTTTACTACCAGGTTACTGATTAGTTGTTAAAACAGGTAAATTGTTACATTTTAAAAATACATTCTTGCCGGGTTATTCATTCTTATTATAAAACGTAATAAAAACTTTAATAAAAGTGATAATTTTAATACAAAAACAAAATAAATTTTAAATGAGATGATAAGTTTATTAAGTATTTAAGATCTTGCTTACATTCAAACATTTTTATTTACACAAATAAATGCTAAATGCATCAATTAAATGATATTCTGCACAATTATAAAATAGCCGAATATATTTATATAAATTTTTATTACTTTTTAATTACTGTATTTATAATGAAGGATAAGACTTACAAAAATTTTTTTATTTTGTCGTGCTTCATTATTCATAAAGTCATCTTTTTTTATTTAACATATAATAATAATAATCATTGTTGTAACACATTCGATTGTTGTAAGGGTACAGGGGCATGACACCACTAAAATTCTGACCAGATATGGAAAGCCAATGAACTGGAGACCCTAAGTTCTTCATATCTGGACGAAAAACAATAGGTCTGCAATTTGAAAATTGCAGCCCAATTCAGTAAAATAGTTTATTGAATTTGTTTTAATTAAATTCAATAACAGTAATCAATTAGTTAGTTAATTTCAATACATTAAATTAACTTATTATTATTATTTTTTTAATTTGATAGAATAGTGAATGGTACAGTCATCTTGGAGGACAACTAGGACTGTGGTTGGGGATATCTCTGCCTGCTATATTCGACTGTATCGAATCTATTATCTTATTATTATGTTACATTTGTTTACCGAAGTATCGAAATAAAAAGAAGTTTAAAAAGTAAATTGTTTTCAATAAAGTTTAACAATAACTCAAACTTTAAAATTGTTGACAATTATTGGGATGTATCCTATTAACATATACATATTATTTCAGAAGTGTCAATTTAATACAATTGTTCTATTATTTTCATTTTGTAAATTTCTTTACTGTCAGAATAAAGGTTTTTCTCCAGTACAAATAACGTATGTCTGTACGTACATTCTTTCCAAACAAATAATTTCCCTGCTAGTCACACTTTTGATTGAATCTAACATACAGGGTAGTCCATTTTAATCAATCCACTGAAATAACTCGAAAAGTATACATCCTACTAAAAAAAAAATGCTAGCCCATATTGTGAGGCTCCTTTAAGTCTATTGGTTTCATCATAGATGATGCTATTTAACTAAAAAGAATCGATTAAAGAGTGTTGTACAGTCTGGCGTCATTAGTTAACACTTTATTGTGTTTAAAAAGTGTATAAGCATTTTACACCGTATCTTACAATATTTTTCTTTAATACAGTGGTACCTCAGGATACGAAATTAATCCGTTCCGAAACTAAGATCGTATCATGAAAATGTCGTAAGGTGGATCATCTTTTCCCATACGATTACATGTAAAACCAAATAATTCGTTCCAACGCGAAAAACATACTCAAATTAAAGCCAAGTAATACATTAAAAAAAATAACTGTAGTAAGAAAAACAAATGAAAAATGCGAACTAATGTAACGTCGTATGGTGAGTTTTTGTTCGTATCGTGGAGCAAAAATATGCTCGAATTTCATGTCGTATCCTGAAAATTTCGTATGGTGGGGCGTTCGTAACCTGAGGTACCACTGTATAAATAAATTAATGCAAGCAAATTTTATTTCTAATAATAAACCGTTAAGTTTTTATTTATTATTACCATTTTTTGTGAAGGCCTCAAGGCCCACCAATAGCCGACTGGATAAAACTACTAAACATTGTTAGTTGTGTAATGATGAACCCGAATTACTCTTGTTTAGTTATGCTTATTTTGGGGGTTTTATTAAGTTAAGGGCTACTTCACACTAGCAACTCTGGTACTAGCTTCTATAAGTCTCATGACTTCAACTTCCGGAATCAAGAGGAAAAGAAGAACGCAACTCGAAGAGGACTTAAAGTAAAATCTATTTTTATTATAATAATTAAAGAATTTCGTTGAGAAGTGCGGATTTAAACACCACAAAAGAACATATTTAACGCATAAATCTCATTTTAATTAATGTAATTTGAAAAAATTGCAGACCTATAAATTCTCACTGGTGCCCGTCTGTCTGTCTCTCCTTTCTTAATCTCGAGTACAAAATTAGATAGATGACCGACACGACTCTATTAATAACAGGGAAAGTTTGATGTACAGTACAATACAGTACATACAGAGACAAGACACTACTAAAATCGAGAGCATT